AAGATGTCAATCATCGACTATAACTCGAAATTCGAAATGTTATCTCTCAACGTCAAGAAAACAGCAGAAGATAAGATTTTGTTATATGTAGAAGGCCTTCATCCCAGTATTCAGATGGAAGCGGCTAGGGTAGCAGGTTGGGTGAATGAGACGGATTTAGCTCAAAAGCAGGCTATGGCGGTGGAGGCGGCTGACATCTTAGATTTGCGTTCAAAGGTAGCTCAATCCCATCCCCACTTGAAGGTTCCAGGTGAAGTTTATCGGCACCCAATTCATCATTCCATGATGAGACCAATGCATCATCAGGCTCAACATCAAGCTTCAAGTTCTGGTCGAAATGGCAATGGCCCTGTCCCAATGGATATTGACGTGAATGAAGTATTGATTCAACGGGACAGTTCAAACCCTTTTCCAGCCATTTGACGTTTGTGCAACACTCAGAGCCTATGTTACGATTGTCTGAAAACTTACGATGACAAACACAAGAGGTTGAGAAGTTTGCATGGTAGGCAATCCTGCCCCAACCCCCCGGTTCGAATGGAAGAGAAATTGAAGTTTTTGCGAGCATCTGTCAATTCGGCTCTCAACTCAACACCCGCTCAAATTTCAGCCATCAATCTAGATGATGCGGAATATGAGGCCTATACGACTCTTCCTACTTCCACCATTGAAGAAACGACTCGTTTTGTTGAAACTTTCTGGGAAAATCTCTCAACACCCACTTATCCCTTGACAGTTCCATATACTCATCAACCAAGTGTACAAGAGGTTCGAGTAGATGCTGTTCGAGTTCAAGCAGATGGTGACAATCCACGTCGGTTCCTTGTTCCATTACGCATCATTTCTGATAACTTCCCCATCGCAGTGATGGCACTAGTAGACACGGGCGCCAGTGATAGTTTCATTGATTTCGGATTTGCTGATCTTCATCGTTTGAATCTGAATAAAAAATTTGTTCCGCAGAGGGTTTTGGGTTTTGACGGTGGTTCGAGTACGAGTGTGACTAGAGAATGGTGTGGTGTCATGGATGTGATGGATGTCGAAGGAAAGCAGTCGAAGTTTAAGGCGAAATTAGGTGTCACGAAGCTCGGTAATGGTCATGATATAATTTTAGGGTTGCCATGGATGGTGGAAAATGAAGTAACGTTGCTAATGAGCAAGAAGGGTAGATGGCTTGAAATCGGTGGTAATGTTGTGTCAGCATGTTTAGTAGATGATGAAGTGGTGGATTTAGCATTAGTCTCTTGTGAGCCTAGTTCTTCGATCATTTCTTTTTCTTCCCCTTTAGATCACACAGCACCCATTCTTGACCAGGCTCCATCAAAATCTCCTCTTCTTTCCCCGGACAAGTCCTTTCTTTCTAATCTACCAAAGAGTTGTGAAAAGTACTTACATGTTTTTTCTCCGCAGGAATCTGTATTACCTCCCCATAGATCGTTCGATATTGCAATTGATCTTAAACCGGGTTGTGAACCTCCATTTGGAGGATTATATAACCTTGCCCCTAATGAGCAATCCAAATTGAAGACTTACCTCAATGATCAGTTAAGTAAAGGCTTCATTCGGCCTTCCAAGTCTCCTGCAGCAGCCCCCATCTTTTTTGTGAAAGTTCCTGGTAAGAAAAACAGACCCTGCGTCGACTATCGGGGACTGAACAAAATAACCAAGAGAGACAGCTACCCTATCCCAGTGATGTCTTGGTTATTGAATCAACTGAGAGGTTGCAAGCATTTTGCAAAAATTGACCTGAAAGCAGCTTTTAACTTACTGAGAGTAGCAGAAGGCGATGAATGGAAGACTGCCTTCCGGACTCCATGGGGTTTGTTTGAGTACACGGTGATGCCATTTGGCTTGGCTAACGCTCCTGCAGTATTTCAGCGGTTTATTCAATGGGTACTCAGGGAGTATTTAGATGTCTTTTGTTTTGTCTACCTTGATGATATACTAATCTTTTCGAAAAATGCAGAAGATCACGAACTACACATCGAAAAGGTATTATCAAAATTGTCAGAACATAAGCTTACTGCCTCTCCCGAGAAATGTCAATTTTTTGCTACAGAAGTTATTTTTTTAGGTTTCGTCATTTCGACCAGTGGCATTAGCATGGATCCTTCGAAACTCAGGACGATAGCTGATTGGCCTTTTCCTCAAGACCTATCAGAACTACAGCGTTTTCTGGGCTTTTCAAATTTCGATCGGCGATTCATTGCAGATTTTCCCCGTATTGTGGGACCGCTTACAGCACTTACGGCGAAAACCGCTAATGCGATAACAGGGCTGAAGCAAGATTTGGCAAAGAAGTCCTTTAATGAGCTACGTCGCCTATTTTCTGCAGCCCCGTTTTTGCTTCATTTTGACTTCAATCTTCCGCGTGTCGTACAAGTTGATGCCTCCGGTTACGCTTATTCAGGAATATTGTCGCAGAAATCCGATCAAGGAGAGTTGCGTCCAGTGGCTTATTTTTCCAAGAAATTGACTGAAGCGGAGCGTCGTTGGCAAATTCACGATCAAGAGTTAGGAGCAATAGTAGTGTGCTTTCATGAGTGGAGAGCATGGTTAATGGGTACGGACATACCAGTTGCTGTCTTATCTGACCACGCAAATCTGCGTTATTTTATGACTTCACAAGCTTTGACTCCGAGACAGGCGCGATGGGCGTCGTTTTTAGGAGAGTTTAACTTCGAGATCTTGCATACCCCAGGAAAATCAAACCCGGCTGATCCGGCTTCTAGGAGATCGGATTTCGTGTGTGGGAAAGAAGATTCTTCGAGAGTGATTTTGTTGGGGACAAGGGAGATCAAAGAGGCAGGCATCAGCGCGATCCATGTGAAGAACCCGGGGAGTTTTGATGTTTCCGCTTACATGCCAATTTCTGCACCTTAGAAAGAAAGGATTGTGAATGCTTACCACGCTGATGATTTGATTGCAGGAGTGCATCCCGCGTTCTTATACTTCCTAGAAGGCTTATGGTGGTGGAGGGATCGGGTCTATGTTCCATTTTTCTTGCGTAAAGAAATCTTGAAGGAGATTCACGAATCCTCGACGGGTGGACATTGGGGAAGTATGAAGACACTGGATTTGCTAACCCGCTCCTTTGGTTGGCCAAACCTTCGTCGTGATGTTATAGAATTTCTCAAGGAATGCACCAGCTGTCAACAAGTTAAGGTGGACCATCGAGCCCCACAAGGACAACTAATTCCGCTCCCTATACCAGATCGACCATGGTCAACGATTGGAGTTGATTTTATCGTCAAACTACCACTTTCAAATGAGTTTGATTCAGTCATGGTGGTGGTCGACCATTTTTCCAAAGCCGCGCATTTTATTCCGGCGAAAGAATCTTGGACAGCTGATGATTTAGCAACTGCTTTCGTAGCACAGGTGTTTAGGTTCCACGGATTGCCTGACGTCATCGTTTCGGATCGAGGCACCACTCTGGTTTCCGGGTTCTGGACGAGTGTTTTACGATTGCTGCGTGTATCGCCGGCACCGTCGACGGCCTTTCATCCCCAGACGGACGGGCAAGTCGAACGCCTGAACGCCTTGTTGGAGGATTATTTACGCCACTTTGTTTCTGAAGACCAGGATGATTGGACTCGATGGCTGCCAATGGCGGAATTCTCATATAACAATTCGGCTTCCAGTTCGACAAAGATGTCACCGTTCTTTGCGCTCCAGGGATATCATCCACGTTTTAATTCTCTGACAGGATCATCGGGAAGACCCAACGCTGACAAATTCGTTGAACACATGCAGGATGTTCAGCAACGGATGGCATTGAATCTCGCATGTGCGAAGGAGACCCAGGCACGATACTACAATAAAGATCGGCGGGTGGAGAAGATTTACCAACCTGGCGATTTGGTCTGGCTGTCAAGAAAACATCTCAAGACGAAAAGACCGAATAACAAACTTGATGTGCGAAGATTGGGACCTTTTCGCGTAGTGAAGATGATAGGAAGGAATGCAGCTGAGTTGGACCTACCTTCAGATTTACGCCGTCTTCATCCAGTATTCAATGTTTCTCTCCTGATGCCGTTTGTAGGAAAAGCAGAAGAATTTTCGGTTGCAGAAAGAACTCGCTGGGGGTCACTTCTGATCCAGGAAGATCTACAAGTCAAAACCATCTTGGATTATCGATCAGACTTGCTGGGTATTCACGAATACTTAGTACGCTTTGGAGAGACTTCAATGTTGGACGATCGATGGGTGCCGTTATCTCAACTGCCGCTCAATTTGGACGTTTTTTTGGAAAGGTTTCACCGTCTCAGCCCCGCTTTAGGCCCTGGTCCAAGTCAATATGTTTGGATCGCAAGAGCAAAGCGCCGTGTAGATGAGGAACACCATCAATTACAACAATTACGAACAACTACCTTGGAAAATGGATTTTTAGCGTGATTGCCAACCCCTGTGTGCCTAAACAAGCCATTCAAGATGTGGGTATGTGAAGGCGGTCGCGAATTTTTTGCCACTGACAGGTATAAGCGAGGTCATAATTTGTCATGAACCTTGCACGCTGTAACAATTTGTAACACAACGTCTAGAAGAATAGGGCTAATATTTATAATAGCTAGTTAAGAACATATGACGTATGTATATGATTTGTGAGAAGGAACAAGGAACGCGGATAACGGTTGTTTATTCAATTTTATGTTATTACTTCTCTTATATATACTTTGTTGTTTCTAATACTTTGTTGCTCTTTTCTTCATCGGAATAATCATTTATCTTATTTCTCTCTTCGTTTTTGACATCTCCGCTTTGAGATAGAAAACCGCGTCCCAAGAAGAATTATCGTTAAACAGTACCGAAAGACTTCTCCGTTCTGAGAAGTCTAGTTACCGTACATCCCAGACCTTTACAAAAATGCAACGATTGAAGAGTGGACAGAATGTCATGAAAAGTTATTACACCTCATCAATACGGACCTGAAGGAAGTTGGACAGCTCGTCAGGATATTTGGTGACCTGTTTCACAATCGTGTGGCCACCCTTTGCTTCATGGCATACTCTCATCTTGATAAACAATCGAGAGTCCTGAAGGAGATCCTAGAAGATGGATCAATAATGGAAGGTGCTCACATACCACCCATCATGCGTATTGCCAACATCCTTGATCTTTCATCGGACACAGTAAGTTGGGAGAAATTGAGTAAAGAAGAGATTTTGGAGAAGATTTTCCAATTGATAGAGACTATGAATGGTGTAGTACTCTTACCTGCTGGCCATAAGTCTCAAGTATTTGATCATGCTTGGAATCGTGAATATACAATGTATCGTCTTAGCCAAAAGAAAGATAGGCTTTCAGAACTCTTCTCAGTTCGTATCAAAAACCTTGCAAGCCTTTCTGATAAACATGATCTAAAAATCCCGTTTGAATGGTTGAACATGCTTCCTGACACAGAGGTTGAAGCGAGTTTAGGAGAGGCGCTGATTTGTCTTCACGTCAACTTACACTTTGACTTACTCAAAGAATTGAAGGTTATCTTGAGATCACAGCCAAGGAGGGCTAGCACGAACTCTCGAATCATTGGTACTTGGACTGACAACCTCCCAGAACACCTTCTGATAAAGACTCCAGAGTTCAAAAGATTCTTTGCGCTACGAGACCAGAAAGTCAAAGGTTTAGGTCCTGTATAAAATTTCGAAAAGGTATGTCTTTGTAAAAATTCGGTTTTTGGAGAGCAGGAGTGAATTTATGTTGAAAACTCCAATCGACGAGAAGAGAGTAAAAGAACTTAAAGCTTACATACGTATGAAAGAAGGCTCAGATACTTTAACAAATCTAAGAAGAAGCACAAGAAGATTTAACTATTAGACGAGATTTGAAGATCAAGAACATTGCCCCAATCGAATTTCACTCACACTCAATATCTTATATACTAACCCCCTTGTCCAAAGTACTTCTCTTTTCCCCATCTTTGGGAAGAGAAGTACGTACCTTTTCATCTTTCTCTCGATGCGTGTTTTCAACTAATTAACATATGTACCGGATACGTTTCTATTTGAATTTCTCTATCGTTTGTCACAGAAGTCTTGTCTCTGTCGCTAGTCCAAAGATCAGTTATCAAACTTGAGATAACTTACACTAACATATCTGACTCGATATTCTGAACCTGCTAATAGGTCAGAAGACCTTTATCAGATCCTTGTTGGTTGTGCAGCGTGCTTATCAAAGCCATCGTGCTTTTTACCAGTTCCCTTATCCCTTACCCGTGATTCAAGACACTCAGACATTCATAATTTACTTTCTCTGCGTGCAGATCAGCTTCACATTTTGCAGCTGGATAGTCTCCCGTCTGGTATTCCGCTGTTGTATCATGAGTTCACCGTGTCTTGCACACTTGATATAGTATGTTCTACATACTTGATGGAGTTCAAATAACGAGGCAAGTGGGTGGTAATTAACTGTGATAACCTAAGTGATTTTTACGGGAAATTCACCAAAGACTTCACCAAAGATTGTATGAGTTAGTCACTATGCATGATTGGGAGCATACAAATACACGCTGAAGGATACCCAAGAAAGCCTTATCTTCTATCCTTTTAGTCAGTGCTAATCAGTAGTGAAGCGTTGTATGGTATGACATCTGGAGGCATTTTATAAGGACAAATTGTGATATGATAAGGAGAAAACCATTCGACTAAATGTTTCTAATGAAGGCGGTTCTCTGCTGCGTTAGTATTGTTGGATTTGCTCTTCTATTCTTAGCTACTCAATTTGATTATGAGGAGGTAGATGAAATATACACGCTGATATGTTCCCATTGTAACTTTTCCTTGACTTCTTATTTCGTTTGGTGTGTTCCTGTTTTTACGATGTCTCTGGATTCTCTGGCAAGACAGGGCACAACAGGGTGAAAGGCATAGGCGGAACGCCATCACATGTAAACGCAACAGCTGGAAAATTGTGAGATTTAGATTTTTGCCACCTGGGTGCGATGAGCGAGAAACAAATATTGATCTCATAATACTGGAACAGCCTGATAAGAGAAGCAAGAAGCACAGAATTGGAAATGAGAATACTGAGAAACGAGAAACACCGGATGAACGTAACCCAAGGTTCAAACGGTGATGGGTATCGAATGAGTGGTGACGATATGTCTGCTTTATGAGCCGCATCTGCATTCGTTCTTGATAGCGCAAGTCGAGATCTCTGGGGGATGGGAATGCCCTGCTTCTATACATCGATCTGAATGTTGATCGCATACATACTCTGGATCAATGATGTCGGGAGTTACTCGTCTGGAATCTCCGATATTGACCAGAACCCTTCTGTTAGGCCTAGTTATGTGACTAGCTTCAGGTTTTGACGAGAGAAGATTGAGGAATTGAAAATAATCATTCATTGTGCATACCATCCTAAATAGGTCTCTTGATTAAATATGCTGCTAGAGGATCGGAAGACAAGGCAATGGTATGAGATCTGCTGTTAGATTGGATTTGATAGCTATTGAAAACCCTTTCGGAGACTCACATTGCACGCCCACAAGTGTCCTTTTTGACTCCGCCTCCTGGGGTGTGATTAGTCACTCTTCGATGTGATCCCGAACATTCGATAAAATCACATTTCCCATGGGCTTTACTACACTCAGCATTTTTACATCTATCAAGGTTCAAATTCCCACACGATTGCTCACTGACCGGCAGACCTCGCGATAGTTTCATCTGACCTGTCCATGGCGACCTAGGAAACGAATTTTATACTTGACGAATTCTCTTTGATGGTGGAGTGTATTTCAATTTACTCTGTTGTACTAAACTTGATGTTCTCGCTCTCGCGTTAATAGGGTGACCTGGTTTCCAGTTCTTGATATATAGAAGCTCACTTGAGTCAAAATCATCGAATGGCAAATGAGGGCTGTTAAAAAACTCGCGACGCAAAGCCTCATCATACCATATGATATGGTACCATTCACCCCATGAGTCATACATGATTTTCAATTCCTTGAGGTGTTGAAAATATTTCTTGAGGGAATCATGACTACTAGTACAGGGAATGTCTAATTGCAAAGCTTCACGGTAAGCGGAGGCGACTCTTCTCCATTCAATTGAATATGCAATGTTGATTTTTTTGCTGATATTCTTCAATATCAACTTTGATTCTTTAATTTCGGGATCACATTGAAGCACATGTGTATCGTCAGAATATTCAGTTGATGTGATTTCATATAAGCTCTTCTCTGTCAATGAATTTGTATTGAGGTAATTCTTTAATGAAAGATATCGGAAAATCCTTAGGTCTCTGAGAACTTCGCTCGAATTGTCTGACCATCTTAAAAACCCTCCTCTCGGTATTCGTGAACGGTTTCGTTGATCGCTTTCCTAACATGAGAAACTTTTCTGGAACTTGAAGCTTTTGTCTTCTGAAATCTTGATGGAGATATAGAACCGGAGGAGTGTGAGGAAGTTGAGTCGATTTGAGTGGTGTTCAACATCATATCTCCTACGGCTTCTTCTTGATCTTTTCTCCTCCTCCTTTCATTATACAATTGTGGTCACGCCGGTACCTCCAATTGCTCAATTACCACTCGTCGATTTTCCTCAGTGTCCGTTCGACTGGCTCTGGCATAATCCACGGAAGAGTTCCATGCATTGAAGCCTCTGGCAGAGGCGGGTTTCCACCCATCGGGTATGAAGGTCTACCATCGATCATATCATTTTCGATTGCATCCTGAGCCAGAACTGAGTAGTAGTACTGAAACCATGGATCTTGATATGGAATGATCATTTGACGAAGTTGATAAATTGAGTATCTTAGGCATCTTTCACCCCGAACATACATCTTAAACAACTCATTAACCCTGTCCGAGATAATTTGATTACGGAAAAGTTGATTCTGATTATCCATGTGACGAAATGAAGTTCTGAACGCAATATCAGGAATTTTGAATCGTTTTAAAATCTTGATTTGTGACAATAGTCAAGTAAACAAATTGAGGGAAATAATTGGTCGTTAACTTTGAAACTCTGCACGATTTTCTTTCTGACAAAGTTGACCACTTACTCTGAATAACCTTGAATTCGCCCATCCACCGGGTTGGTTCAATTATCCACCCGTTTATTATATTATTTCATCTCATTCGCGAAATTTCTATCGAACCTGTTGATCCCTTCGAATAATGTGAATGAAACCAACAAAGAAATTACCGAGCAGTGGCACCTTCTGTGATTCAAATGAGGTTTTCCGTCGATTTCCACGCATATATTCTACCATTACCAACCCACAAATCTCATGAAAAGGCATAGAATACGATCAAAGTTGTGTTATTCCTTATGAACAGCAGCAACGAGATATGATCAAGACGACCATGGCGCTGCAACTGCCAATCAAGATGTATCAGATTCCAGAATTCGACGTGTCCCAGGCGATTTGACTAACTGCACTCGAACTGTTGAATCCGGGCATCCTTGTTGACTATGAGAGTGTCGACTGGAAAATGGTGAACACCTCTACTTGCAATCGACTTTGCTTGTATCGCACATCCATATGTAGGAGTCACTACTGATTGTTAATTTGACAAACTCGGTCCTGCTGTGACTTTGCTAAATTTACTCGCTATTCTCATGTTAATTTGAATGGCGAGATGAACTAGAGTGAGAGATCTAATATGTAAGAAAAGTAGAAAACACACAATTGCTTAGCTTTTTTTGAAACTTCTTTTGATACAAAACTGAGAGTTTCTGCACTATCAGATAATTTATAAAGAAACAGCTTATTCAGTTAGGAGGTTTACAAAGTGTATTACGAAAAATAATTTCAAGTTCCCAAGCATCACTCCAATAAAACTTTTGACATTTAATTAATCTATCACCGTCTTCTGTCACCTTCTTTGCTAATCCCATGTTTCGTCTTATCAATGCACAATCCATACTACAGAAACACCAGCAAAATTATCAAAAAAAGAGACACACAAGATGGTTTGAATGATAAGAGTTGAAAGGTAGAGAAAAACTTACGATTTGAATTGAGTGATTGGACAAAAATCGTTTGAACCATCACCAACATAAACAATTCGATCAAAATGAATTGTAGAAGAATTTAAAAAGTTTTTTAATTCTTCACCTAATCCGAAACCGATCAAAAAAAACCAAAAAGATTAAAACCTTCCAACTTATGGTCTTATGAGTTTTTTTGAAATCAGAGAGACTAACCTTTACACATATTAGGACTACAACCATGTATACAAGAATGTTGAATTGGAAAATCATAAGGAATTCTTCTATTCAAAACTAACATTCCATCTTGATTAAATTGAGCAGGATTAGTAATGATTTGTTTGAAAATCTTAAGATCTACTTTATGATGATTTAAAACGATTTCAATAAATTCACTATTCGAATTTGATAAGATTAAAAAACTAGTCTCTATTTTACTTTGATCTTTATGTAAGGTTTCTATTGCACGTTTCATGGCTGGATGCTATTCAAGAAAAGGAAAACTGTATAAATAAGTGATTTTTCTTTTTGGAGATTTTGATAAAAAATTGAACTAACCAAGGGTAAGGTTGAAAAAGCTTTGATGATCTGATCTTTTCCTACTCCACTCTGATGAAGTAATCTCAAACATTCTGCTCTGATCCATAATAAAAGAATTGAATGTTTGTTCTCAGCTGATCCACATAAGAGTACATGAATACATTTTGAAGTTTTCCTACACATTATCAGTCCATTGAACTGTGTCTTTTTGTAATTCAAGTCTCATCCTTAGATCCGGATCAAGGACTTCAAAAAGGTACCGATCCGTATCTTGGTCTGATAAGAACAATTTTTTAAAAGGTTAGAGACTCTTGTTAGAGGGATCGAAGTCTTTGAACATACCGACAAGCGACCTGAGGGAAACAAAATATCTCAATTGACAAGTCAGTACATGATGAATTGAAAAGGTTTTCTTGAAGTGAGAAGACTTACCAATCGAAATCGAATACAACCAACTGAGTCGGTTTTCTTGGTTCTGCCATGATTCCAAAGGTGTTCGGCTTATCTGATGGTTCGATGGGTTGGTGGTGATATGTATGCGTCTTGGATGGTGGCAGATCTTGGCGGATGGAAGTCACGCTCTTTTGAATTTGAGTGGCAAATCACGTGACTTTACTCAGAAACGAATATGTATGTATGTACCAGTCCAGAGTGCACGCCGCCAAATGCCAAGCACTCCAAAAGATGCGCATCACACCGCGGGAATGAATTAGTTCAAAACCCGATTGAGGAAAGTTGCGGTGTCCGAGTCCGCAACTTCCTTCAATTGTGAATTTCGTTCGCAATACGTTCACAATGGGTTCACAGGTCCCCTCGAGATGCCCTGTCTATTTGCTGTGTGTGTAAACATGTATACATAGCCAATACTCCCATTCACAGTATCAACTATCATTGATCTCATTCATATCTTTGGCTCCAGGCTCACTGTCAGAGCTGGCAGGATGGTTGCATGACAGCAATTCCAGGTGAGCTGTTGCTCTGTGTGTTATGTTGTGTATGGTATCGCTCGAGGGGAACCTGTGAACCCATTGTGAACGTATTGCGAACAAAATTCACGATTGAAGGAAGTTGCGGACTCGGACACCGCAACTTTCCTCAATCGGGTTTTGAACTAAATTATTCCCGCGGTGTCATCTAGGGCTATCCAACTAGCCTGGTCTCAGCTCTGCTACTCGACTCATTGCGGCATAAACCACACAGGCATAAAAAAAATTCAACTCTCTCGTGGATTGGTGTTTCATTAATCAAGTGGGATATGGCACGGAGGGTGTCACAGGCGCCTTTCTCCAATCAGGCAGGCTAGAAGGATATGCTAATAACACATCCCCTCCCGTCTCTCACCAACCACAGGTTGGCGCTGAGGGTTGGGTACTCTTTTGAGTACTCAAGGCTCACTAATTTGGGCAAGTTGGGTTTTATGTGATAGTATTTATATCAAATATAAAGTAATAAAGTAATTACAAAAAGAATTATAAAAAGAAATAAGGAAGAGGAAAGGAACTGGTCTGAAAGGATAAATCCTGATAGACTACAGTTAGGTGACTCCTTAAAAGAAGGTTTAGATTATTATACTAATATAAGATTATAAATGGTAAAGGGTGGATCCTAGCCCTTCCAACAATCTTCAAAGTAACTGATTAAAGAGTGGGTTAAAGCTCACTAGACTAGTTGTTCTATGGTCACCAACCATGGGTTTTTGTATGGTCACCAACCTATTTGTTTCTACTTAGGGGAAGTAGAGGATCCAGAGTTGGATGAAGAATGTACTACTTAATTTTAGTCAGGAAACTTTTTAAAGTAGGATCCCACTATTTTCCGCCCTTGGTTTGGTATCCGGAGCCCCCTCGCGGTACCGGACCCAGGGCGACAACCAATGTGCAGCCCCTTTTGAAAATTGAGGCTCCTTCAGGGGGCGCTCTTTGCCTCACTTTTTTTAGGCCTAAGGGGCTCGGTAAGAGGGATCTCTCAAGTTCAGTTTGGCAGGCAAATGTCACTTTATTCACGCTATCTAAATGGGTTGGTTAGGTATGGCGCATAAATGACATATCATAGCATAATTTGACCACGTCACATAGAGCATACAAGGCATAGAGGGCATACATGTAATACAAGTAGGATCCTACAAGTAAATGAGACAACAACCAATTCATGGTTTTGAGAAAAAGCACACAACACAAAAGACAAAATGAACATGAGAAGAGGAAAAAAAGAATTCAAAACACACTAAGTGGTTTGATTTGCCCACCAACCTGTAAGAACTCGGAGTGAGAGATGGAATGCAAGGGCGCTAAAGGGACCTCTACGATGGTATTTGGATTGTGACGTGAGGATGCACAGGCCATCCTTGAGCAAGCATCTAAGTAAGTGCACAACACAGTACAAGCATAAAGTAAGTAGCCTTGTACATGGCTCATAACACCACTCCCCCCTTTATGTCTCAACCCCCTCTTGATGGGTTAGCATCTTTCCACAGGTTGGCATTAAAAAACCCAGTGGGAAAAAGCCTCACCCTCATGACTTTCTCCGTACCCTGCGGTATCTTCTTTCAGCTTGAGGATACTTGTTGTTAAATTCTATCATCAATTCTTGAGCATTATTCATTAGTTCTTCTGGTTCCCATGAATCATGATCCAGGCTATACCCTTTCCAACTAATTAAGTACTCCACTTTCCCTCTCTTGCTTCGTTTGTCTAATATTTCTTCAATTTCATATTCAGTTTCATTTTGAATTGTTATTGGCGGAGGCGGTTCATGCACTTGATCCTTAATTTTGCTTTTCTCGAATTCTCTGAGTAAATTTATGTAACAAACAGGGTGAATCTGGCTCATTGACTTTGGTAAATGCAATTTGTAAGCATTTGTCAATACACATTTTAAAATAGGAAAGGGACCCATCCATCTGTGTGAGAACTTAGCTGTGGGTCGTGTGGTTGATAAGTTCTTATTATTCAACCACACTTTGCTTCCAACCTTCCAATTTGGTGTTTCTTGAACTTTCTTGTCATGTTGCTCCTTCATTGCTTCTTGAGTTAATTGCATTGAGTCCTTTAATTCTTTCTGAACTTTGTTTAAGTGCACTAAGCTTTTCTCGACTGAAGGTAAGCATTGGTCGCCAGTGGGCACATTGGTGAAGCTGACGTTAAAACCGTAGTTTGCTTTGAAAGGTGACATTCCAATAGCTACATGATCATTGTTATTGTAAGAGAATTCAGCCATGGGGAGAAGAGAACACCAATTGTCCTGTTTGCATGACGTGAAATGACAGATATATTTCTCAACTGCTTTATTAGTGATCTCAGACTGTCCATCAGTTTGTGGATGGTATGCCGTCAAGGATTGAGTAATTATGCCTAGTCTTTGATTCATGTCTTTTGTGAGTTTGGAGATGAAGACATTACCTCTATCTGATGTAATTGACTTCGGTGTTCCATGCAATTTCCAGATATTCTTAATCATCAATTCAGCGAGTTCATCCGACGTCATTGTTTTCCTACAGGGTACAAAGTGTGCCATCTTTGTTAGACGGTCAACCACTGTCAGGATCCTGTCGTTACCTTCGGATTCGGGAAGATCTGTTATTAAATCGTAACAGATGTCAGTCCACGGTCCGCTGGGAATTGGGAGAGGATTAAGACTACCAAATGGCTTTGTTGTCCTTGACTTGACGCGTTGACAAGATTGGCATCCGTTGACATATTGACTTACAAAGGACTTCATTGATTTCCAATGGTAGCCACGCTTAACTAAGGCCAAAGTTCTCATTCTTCCCGCATGACCAGCTAGTTGACTGTCATGACGTGATCGCAATATCTGAATTTTTAGATTGTTATCATCAGGTACTACTATCCTGTCTTTCAGATAAAGAATACCGTTGATGCTTGAGTAATCTTTCATGAATTTTGATGTCCACCCTTCGCCACGCAGCTGTAGTACTTCAAGTATTTTGGGATCTAATTTTGACTTGACCTTAACTTCCTCCAATATGCGTTCATCATTCCATATTAGGTTGCCTTCATCATCCATCCTTTCTTCATTTAAATCCATTTCACTAATTTGCAAATTCGGATTTAAATCTTCTTCCATTACCCATGAACTAAAGAGGTCTAATTCATCAATAAAGGCGTTGGCTGGTAAATTCTGTGGTTTCAGTAGTTGTCCAAAGGTGAACTTCTCACCCTCCTTTGGCATTAAGTCTGGTCTTCGCAATAATGTGTCCGGTTTTGTGGACTGTCTACCCGCTCTGAATCTAATCTCAAAATCAAAACTACCCAAGACTTCTGCCCATCGTGCTTGTTGCCTGGTTAATTCTTTGGTTGTCATTAAGGACTGTAAATTTTTATGATCTGAGTATACTATCACATTGAGTATATTGGGATTGCCTTTGAGATATTGTCTCCATTCCTTAAAAGAAATTACTACCACCATTAATTCTTTATCAAAGATTTCATAGTTTCTCTCTGCCTGAATTAAACAATGTGAAAGGAATGCTACTGGGTGTAATTCCCCGTCATTATCCAAGATTTGAGATAGAACTACACCCAATGCGTAATCTGAACAATCACATTCAAGTACAAAAGGTTTAAACGGGTCTGCTATTTTAAGAATCGGGGCCGTTGTAAATGCTTTCTTGAGGTCCTCAAATGCCGTCTGTCTAGCGTCAGTCCAACTGAAAGGAGTGTCCTTTTGAGATAATTCATGCAATGGGCGTGCAATCTTTGAAAAGTGGCCTATAAAGCGTTGGTAGAAATTTGCAAAGCCGATGAAAGTTTGTACTTCAGATAAATTTCAAGGTGTCTGCCATTCAGTGACTGCTTTAACCTTGGTTTTGTCCATTTTAATTTGATTTTTAGATATGATTAACCCCAGGTAAGATATCTCTTTCTGTGAGAATTTGCATTTTTCCGGCTTTACCCATACATTTTGCTTTCTTAAGATCTCTAAAACTTCTTTCACTACAGCTTTATGATCAACTCCTGGTTGAGTATAAATGAGAATATTGTCTTGATATGCAGCAACATCTCTTCCAATATGAGCCTTGAGTATATCCTGAATAAGATACTGAAAGAAACCGGGAGCTCCAGTTGGTCCAAATGGCATAGTCATGGGTTCAAATTGACCTCTTTTGCATATGAAGGCAAGTTTTGCCTCATCACCTTCTCTAACCCTTAAATTGTTGTAGCCATTCCTCATGTCAAGACTGGTGTATTCATCAGCGTCCAAGAGACTGTCAACTAGCTCCATGGTTGATGGCAAGGGATATTTGTTCTTGACCGTTACCGCATTGAGTTTCGATAATCAAAGCATGGCCGTAAACTTCTGTCCTTCTTACCCGTAAACAATACAGGAGCAGCCCATGGGAAGGTCGTCCTTTGTATAGTTCCGTTTGCTAGTCCTTTATCTAACGTTTCGTCCAGGACCGCACTTTCTTTGGGTGATAATGGAATTACTCTGCCTGCCTGAGGTGTTGCATTCGGGAGAAGAT